CGCGTGAGGGCCCCGGCGCCTCACCACCGCGCCACAGGCTGGCCCGAGAGAGCGGGTTTGACGACGGCAGGTGAGGAGCAGGCAGGCCGTTGCAGTGCTAGTCTCTCCTGCAGAGAGGTAACCTCCCTCCAGAACTTACTAGAAAGTCAGTCCCAAATCCACCCCGAGGGAGAGCCTCTGAGGACACCTCGGCCGTGCCCCCTGAGGACACCTCGGCTGTGCCCCCTGAGGACACCTCGCGCTGCGCTCCCTGAGGACACCTCGCGTGGAGGTCTGCAGGGACACTACCCACGGGCTGTTCCGAGCCGGGCTGGTGAACCTCTCTCCCTCCATGCCTGCTGTTCAGCTAGTAATGCTTCATTACATGCAAAAGGAAAAATCGTTCCAGCTTTGAGGGGAAAATACCCAGTTCTGAGAGCGATTTTCTTAATCAAGGAGCTAACTCTCGTAGAGAGCTTCTTGCTGGTTCCCTGCGCGGACCGCGTGGCTGCCATGGGCGGGCCTTCTCCTGGGCGCTCTGGGCCAGTGCTAGCCCACCCGCAGCTTGTCTCACTGGAGGGGATGGCTGGGACCCAGGTTCCAGGGAGAGGTGTGCTTGCCCTACTCCAGTGGCGTGAAGCCACCGCCAGGACCCTTTCACTGTGCGGAGTGAGCCTGCCTGTTGGCTGTAACTGTGTCTCTCGGTGCCCACACCGCTCACAGGCATCCCCCCGCTGCTGGCCTCGTCACGCGCCCATGGTCTTCGTCCCCTCCTGTCTGAGAGCTGAGCCTTCTCTGTGCGGTGCCTCTCTGACAGCCCCTGCCCGATCTCCTAGTGTCCCTGCCAGCTTCCCGGCCGGTTCCCTGCGGCCCTCCCCCAGGCCCTTCCACGATGACCCTCGCGGGAGAGGAATCACAGCGTGTGGCCGTCACAGCCCAGGCACCAGCGTCACCTCTCTGGACTCCTGCACCGGCATTCGGGAATTTTCTTTAACTCTCAACTCGATAACTTCCAAACTGAATAAACACAACTGCTCGCTTTTCCCCTCCTGTTCTCATCTCGGTGCTCCGCTCACCTGCCCGGAGACCTGGCTCCAGTGTCACCTGCACGAGCAAGACACCGGTCTTCTTCCCGCTCCTGTCCCCGGCGTGTCTCTCTCCCTCTGCCAGGCTGCTCGGCTCATGGGACAGTCATGGTCACGGTCAGGCTGGTCGCCGGGCTGTCTTCGCTCTCTCACGACTGGTGGCTCCTGGTGCCGAGGTCACGGGCTTGGTGCTGTGTCTCAGGACTATCCACGCTTCTCCGAGGGTGCTACTGGGAGGACTTCCTTCCTCTTTCAAAGAGAAGAGAGGAAAGTTCTGAGTTCTTGAGGTCAGGGTCACGTCTGCTGACGGGCATCAGACGCCGTCGGACCTAGGGGCGACGCTGGGACATGCCAGCTCTGTCTTCTGTGGGCATTCATTTTGCTTTTCTGTTTGCTTACTTAATATAAACGGGAAGTCCCTCCTTTAGGCCAGGAGAAAGGCTTGGGACTCCTCCAGGGACCTGGTCTCAGTTGAGAGTCACCGGGTCGAGGTGCATTTGGGGAGTTACAGGAAATTGAAGTTGGCCGGCATTGTGCAGGAGTGGGGGCGGCCCTGCTGCCGGCCTCAGCCTCACACGCATGTGCATACACGCACACTCGCTCACACTCACACACACACACTCACACTCACACAACACACCTGCATGCTATACGCACATCCTCCTGCATGCTTACCCACACAGCACAGCACAGCACACGTCACACACACACGTCTGCTCACTCATACTCACACAGCACACCTGCATGCTATACACACATCCTCCTGCATGCTTACCCACACAGCACAGCACAGCACACGTCACACACACACGTCTGCTCACTCATACTCACACAGCACACCTGCATGCTATACACACATCCTCCTGCATGGTTACCCACACAGCACAGCACAGCACACGTCACACACACGTCTGCTCACTCATACTCACACAGCACACCTGCATGCTATACACACATCCTCCTGCATGGTTACCCACACAGCACAGCACAGCACACGTCACACACACGTCTGCTCACTCATACTCACACAGCACACCTGCATGCTATACACACATCCTCCTGCATGGTTACCCACACAGCACAGCACAGCACACGTCACACACACGTCTGCTCACTCATACTCACACAGCACACCTGCATGCTATACACACATCCTCCTGCATGGTTACCCACACAGCACAGCACAGCACACGTCACACACACGTCTGCTCACTCATACTCACACAGCACACCTGCATGCTATACACACATCCTCCTGCATGGTTACCCACACAGCACAGCACAGCACACGTCACACACACGTCTGCTCACTCATACTCACACAGCACACCTGCATGCTATACACACATCCTCCTGCATGGTTACCCACACAGCACAGCACAGCACACGTCACACACACGTCTGCTCACTCATACTCACACAGCACACCTGCATGCTATACACACATCCTCCTGCATGGTTACCCACACAGCACAGCACAGCACACGTCACACACACGTCTGCTCACTCATACTCACACAGCACACCTGCATGCTATACACACATCCTCCTGCATGGTTACCCACACAGCACAGCACAGCACACGTCACACACACGTCTGCTCACTCATACTCACACAGCACACCTGCATGCTATACACACATCCTCCTGCATGGTTACCCACACAGCACAGCACAGCACACGTCACACACACGTCTGCTCACTCATACTCACACAGCACACCTGCATGCTATACACACATCCTCCTGCATGGTTACCCACACAGCACAGCACAGCACACGTCACACACACGTCTGCTCACTCATACTCACACAGCACACCTGCATGCTATACACACATCCTCCTGCATGCTTACCCACACAGCACAGCCCAGCACACAGCACACACACGTCTGCTCACTCACACTCACACACACACAACACACCTGCGTGCTATACACACATCTTCCTGTATGCTTACCCACACAGCACAGCACAGCACACGTCACACACACGTCTGCTCACTCACACTCACACTCCTGCAGCTGATCGTGGAGGTGAGATGGGCCCATGGAAACAAGCATGCTGGTGTCCCGTGGCCAGCATGGAGAGAAGTGACGTTGACGGAGCAGGAGAGGCGCGTGGGGCGGTGAAGGCTCCAGGGAGGCCCGCTCTCGGCAGGCGGGGTGGAGGGACAGAGTGAGAAGAGGCCTGGGTGCAGGCAGAGACCGTGTCAGGAGGAGCTGCCCAGCCTGGCTCACCGTGGACTGAGCGGTGGGTGGGTGGGAACGGGGTCCAGGCGTGTTCTGGGAAGAGGGCTGTGGTAGGGGCTGAGGTGGGAGGGCAGGCCGTGCCCCCCACGTGCCTCTGCCGTGTCTCACACGGGGTCTCGCATCTCCTTCTCCTGCACCTGGGGATTGAGCCTGGACTGGGGTGGTCCAGCTGTGGGAGGTCCTGGCCAAAGCCCTTGGGGTTCATGCTGAAGGGCCGGCCGATGCCAAAATGAGCTCACCGCTACTGTTCCCAGCGTATCGCTCAGAGAGCGGGCAGGAGGTCAGGGAGCCGTGCCTCCTGGGGACCTCCACTGGTGTTAGGGTGGGTGGGGGCTGGCGGTCAGAGCGAGTCTGGGGCTCTGGATGGAGGCAGGGAGCCCCGAGCTTGGGCTGGGCGGAAGGGCCAGAGGGGAGGAAGGAGTCCAGGGAAGGGGAGGGTAGAGGCCCAGGCTGGGGTCCTGGGGGTGGCAGGGCCGGGGGGCAATGGGAGCCTCTCTGGCTGGGGCCCTGTGTTGGCCAGAGTGAGCAGCTAACAGATGTGCCCTCTTCCACAGGAGATGCGGGGAGCAAGGGGGACAAAGGCGCCCCAGGTCGGCCCGGAAGAGTCGGCCCCACGGGAGAGAAAGGTACTGCCGCCCTGCAGAGCGCCGGGAGGGGTGACTTCCGTCTGGGGGAGGTGGCACACAGCTGCTAGGGAGCCTGGGCGGGCCCTCCAGACTGTGCTCCCCGGAGACGTGCCGTGGCTCCTGGCCCCTGCCCTCAGCCGTGCTTCAGGAACGACAGGGAGCACGTCGTGAGGTCGGGTGGTTGTGAAGGTGGGCAGGAGGTGACAGTGCGGAGTGCGGACTACGCAGCTGTGTTCAGCGCGGCACCCACTTAACAGCTCCTGTCCCCGATCTGCTTCCGCCTTGGCACAGCAGCGCAGTTCTGCCCGCCTCGTGGGACAAAGGAAGGGGCCGGCCGCATATGTGAAGGGACGTGGAGGGACAGATGGCACGCATGAAGGAGTACTAGAGCCCACACAGGAAGGGACTGGCTCAAGCACGCGACCGCACCAGGTCGCTCACGTGAGGCTGAGCTGAGCCCGTCGCCAGAGCGGCCCAAGGTTAGCCTCATGAAGTTCTTGGCGCATAGTAGGTCCAAGGCCCTGAGCACACTGACAGCAGGTGGCGTGGGGGCGTGGGGGCGTGGTGCCTAGGGCACTTCTCCATTCTCTTCTCGGGATTTTGGGCACCCATGCACATGCACCCGGCGTGAGTTTAAGCTACCGTGTCCAGGACCTGAACCACAGTGGGCCATGTAGGAGTCCAGTGACGTAACCATTATGCCATCCGTTGGTCCCGCCTGGAATGCTTTCTAAGCTGCCAGGTCCAGGACTCGAACAGCACCTTAACCACCACACCACTGGCTGGCCCAAGAGGTTTTTTCTTTTTCTAAGCCACGAAAGGGTGGTGAATGTTCACGAATATGCTTGCCGCATGCACTGAGGTGACCCGTGGCCCTGCCATTGTGGCTCACCACGTTTACTGCCCTGCGTCTGCCAGCCATCCTTCCGGCCGCGGCCGCTGGGTCTGGGCGACGATTTGGGTGGGGGTCACTTCTGTGCACAGCGGGGGCTGGCCAGCCACGCTCTTGCTTCTAGTTTCCTCGTCGGGCCCTGGGCTTGTCGGGAGGCAGCTTTGTAAGAGGCCCTGGCCTTTGCTCTCACGGAGGCTCACTCGGTCTCCGGACTATCGAGTGGGCTGTTCGTTCCTCAGGGCTGCGTGCCCAGGACTCGGCCAACCCGGCCAGCCTGTGCGATCGGGGCACACCACGCCTCCCCCGCCCGGTGGTCTCTGTGACCTCTGGCTCTGGGCACCAGGGACAGCGTTTCCTGCAGCTCCCGACCGTACTTGAGCCCTGGCCCTCGTTAATCTAGCTAAAGACTTCTCGGTGTCTCGACCTTTTCAGGAAGCAACTCAGTTTTGGCCTCTGTGATTTTCCAGCCTCTATTTAACTTCGCTCGGGTCATCTGGCGTCTTCCCTGCAGCCCTTGCTGCCGCCGCGCGTGCCTGTGCCCCTGCCTCCCACCCTGACTGTGTCAAGGGCCCCTTCACCCTCCGGGAGGCTCGCTCAGCAGCCCCAGGCCAGGAGGGTGCCGGGCTTGGTGTCACCTCCCAGCTGCTGCTCAGCCAGCCCTGCCCCTGCCTCTGCTCACTCCACAGCCTGTGGCACTGTCTCCTTCCTCTCCCACACACCCCTACTTTACCCCTATTTAAAAATAGAAGAAATTGTATTTCAACGAAGGAAGGACATTTCATGCAGGAACAGTAGCAGTGGCAGGTATGCGTACACATGTACCGTGTACACAGATCAGGTTGTTCGCATGAAAGCCATGCCGGTGTCCGAGCACTGGACAGCATGCTCTCGACACGGCCTTGTGTTCCTGCCAGGGCCCTGGGAGCTGCAGCCAGCCATGCTAGGGTTTTTCTTCATGAGACAGACAGCGGAGGAGGGGAGGCTCTCGTCCGAGTCTGGCCGCAGCCTCTGTATCGCCAGGGTCACAGCGTGTGGCACCAAGCCACCAGCCCAGGCTGGCCTAAGACCTGGTCCCGGGCCCCCCACTGGTCCCAGCTCACACAGGGGTGCCCTACTCTCTGCATCATGGTGGCCAGGCCAACGCCCGTGCACGAAGCAGAAGAAATGAGCTGCTACAGGGAGCAGGTGCCAGGGAGCTCGGGGACCCCGGCTTCCTCTGAATCGGCCTCCCACCTGCCGAAGCTTGGTGACCGGTCCCCTCTGACGGACGCCGTGACAGGTTCTCTGTGAACACTCCTGCAGGTGGTGCGTCAGGCCTGTTTCTTTTCAAACATATCTTTAAGGAATCTTTTTATCTCCTTGACAGGGCATGTGAGTGCACAAGAGAGATGGGGTCGGGGAGGAGCACTCCCCCGGCCATGGCTGCTTGGCCCCTGAGCATGTGCCCAGCGCGTTGCTGGACAAACTGTGGCTTTCTGTGGGACTGGCTTTTCTCGAGTAACGCACGCTGCTGCCCACAGAGCTGGCCCTGCCTGTTTCTGTCCTTGGTGCTGTGCAGGCCATGGTCCGGCAGGTCCCCATCGCTCTCGTCCCTGGGTCTCCAAGGCTCTCACGATGCCCACACTCAGAAGGCCCTCAATCAGTTGCTTGAAAAATATCTCGACGTTGAAATATCTCTGAGTCTCTTTGAAATCTGCGGGTGACCCTGGTGTGTGGCTGAGGGTCCGGGTCTGCAGACTCCACTCCTCCCCGGGAGGGAGCCATCCACAGGTTCTGGGAATAGCCCATGTGCTGAGGGTGGGAGCGAGTGTCTCACTGGCACCCCGGGCTCTCTGTAGCCGCTGCGCTGGGGCAGGAGCCTGCAATTCTGCGCTGTGTACACAGAGCCATTGCCACGCCATGGGCGGGGCCTGGGAAGTGGGGTTGGGATGCCTTAGCTCCCACAGGGCTGGCCTGCCGTGGGGCTGCCTCGGCCTCCTGCTCTCTGCTGGGCTGGGAGGCAAAGGGAGCAGCCCGAGCTGCAGAGTCTGTCCTGAGAAAGCAGCCAGCCACACGGGCCTCCTGTTGTCCTTTGTCCCTGAAATCAGAGCAGATCCCCTCCCCACATCTGGGGACGTGCCGGGCTGTGGGGATAGTACAGAGTGGCCCAGCTCTGTGGTCAGCCACGTGTGCCTCCCCGCTCCCGCGGCCTGTGGTTCCCACACGTGTTCGGAGCCGGGAGGCTGGTCCCTGTCCCTCCCACTGGTCCCAGCCTCACACAGAGGTGTCCTACTACTCTCTGCACCATGGTGGCTGGCCAGGTCGATGCCTGCAATTTTAAGCCTCCTTTTTAAAAGCAGGAGAAGCTGCAGGGAGCAGGAGAAATGAGCTACTCCATGGAGCAGGTGCCAGGGAGCTCGGGGACCCCGTCTTCCTCTGTGTCCGGGAGGCCTGGTCCCTTTGTCCAGAAACCAGGGACTCTTCCAGCGTAAGAAGGAGTGTGACCCCATGGCACTGTGCTCCCTGGGCTCTGGAACACGCACCCTACCCTTTATTGAGACTCACTGGGGACGCGACGTGTAAGTGCTCCTTTGTCCTCTCCACGCCGAGGGCTACGCACCATCCTCACTGAAATCCTGCGAGCCGCATGCCTGCTGGGAGCTGCTCGGGCCTCCCGCATGCCTGGAGGACAAACCGAGGCCACGTCTCATTAGTGTGACACGAGTGGACACTGCGTGTCGCTCCCAGTGCTCTGCGATGGCTCGGCCAGGAGCGCTGTGTGTGGCGTGCATGGTGCACACGCGTCCTGTCGTCTCGTGCGGGGAGGAGCCTTCCCGGCAGAGCTCCCTGGCAATCACCTGGAGGAGCATGGCGCCCTGGCAGGCAGGTGTCGCTGTGCTTGTCCCTCCCACACCCCTGCCCTGCCCTGGGCCGGGGGCCGAGGCCGAGGCCTGGGCACGTCCGCACATGTCCTCTGCAGAAAGGCTGTGGTGGCTGGGAACGGTCGGATGTGCCGACAGGCTCCACGGACTCTAGCAGTCCTCCCCTTCTCCCCCTCCACGGCACACCTAAACGCAAGCTCTTCCTGTCAGAGACTGCAGCGCGCCCACTGGTAGGCCCCAGCGTGGAGCCGTCCTCATGGGGGAGGCACGGCGGGGAGGGGCTCTGGGTGCTTCAGTGGTCCGAATTCAGACCCGGCTCTGTGCACAGCTGAACGTCCCCAAGCGCGGGAGAAGGGGATGCTTTTCGTACATGCACTCACACACAGCGTGTTGGTGTGTACACGCACACTTGTCTGCGTGCTACACATGCTTGTGTGGTGGTGTGGATGTGCACACAGGCTCACGCGCACGTACACTTGTGTGTCTCTACTTGTGTTTGTGCACACACGCCTGCACGTTGGAGGCCCTGTGGGGCTGCGCTCTCTCTGGTTTTCTGCCTCTGACTTGGGGCGGGGCTTCTCCCCCCAAGAACCAAAGCCAGCACTGTGCCTCCAGCCGCCTGGTCTCAGAGCAGAGCCCCTGGTGGTCCTTGGCCTGGGGGTGGCTTTGCCGTGCTCTGGGTGCCTGCATGGAGGCGGAGGCTGAGCGGGCCAGGCCCTGCCTGTTGCTGTGATGGGGGCTCAGGAGGCCCCATGCCATTGGGCACCTGCCACGCCGTGTCCCTGGTGCCCACGTGACCGGACCCAGTGTGCTGCTGGGAGGCATGTTACAGATGAGGAACTGAGGCTCGCGGAGGACCCCGTGGCCGGGGCCTTGGGCTCAGCCCAGAGCTGTTGGACCGTGTCTGTGCTCTAACAGGATGACACAGTCCCTCAGAGTCCGGAGGCCGGAAGTCTGGGGTGGGGTGCCGGTGCGCGGTGCGTGGGGTGCTTGGTCCTGGCGAGGGCCAAGGGCCGGTTTCCAGGCTTGCTGGGACCTCACAGGCGGGAGGGTGAGCGCTCTGGCCTCTTTCCTCTCCTCAAGGGGACGCTAACCCCCTTGAGAGGTCCCACCTCAGCTAGCCCTGCTTCTCTGCCAGTGGCCCTGTCTAACTACCATCCCTTGTGTGCGTACGCGTGTCTCCGTGTCAGTGCATGTGTGTGTGTGTGCGTGTCTGTGCGCACGTGTGTGTCTGTGTGTACGCTTGTCTGCGTGTGTGTGCACGTGTGTGTGCGTGTCTGTGTGTGTGTGGGGGGGTGTCAACATGTGGATCCGGGGGGGCCCATGGTTGGGCTAGCGCGTCAGTGCCCGCAGGCGGGGGCAGGACACTGAGTATGGCTGGGAGGACAGGGTGGGGCCAGCGAGGGCAAGGGGTGGTCAGCGGCCCCGTTCTGGTGTTGGAGGGAGGCTCTGCGTTAGGCTAGGCGGGGTGAAGCAGGCAGCGGCACTGCAGCTCCCGGGGCCTCCTTACAAGCAGAGCAGCACCCCACGCCCCTACTCCAGAGCAGAGCTTCCCTCCCCACTGCCCCTGGGAAGATTGCTTAGCGGCCGCGCTGCTCTGTCCAGTGCAGGGCTGCTCATAGGTGAGACTGACTGACGGGCTGATTGATCAGGACTGTTCTTGTCTGCTGTGCCCCCTCGCTGCTCTGAAGTTTCACTGTCAGAAATGATCAGGTGGAAATGATGTCATTGCTCAAAGCGGGGGTCAGACTGCAGCCGAGCTGCCGCCAGTGAAGTGGCTCAGGTCACTGTGGCAGGTGCCTGGTGAGACCCAGGCATGTCTGGCTGAGGAGGGAGGGCAGGGCTGGCCCCTCCACAGCCCGGGGGGGGGTTGGCACTCACTCCAGGTGGGCACAGGCCTATGGGTGCCTGCCTCCCCGCAGGCTCGGAGGGAGCCCCCTGGCTGCCGGGCCCTCTGTGCCCTGGACGCCCTTCCTGACTGGCTCCCTGGCCTCAGCCCTCCACCCAGGAGGCCCTGGTTGCCTGGCCTGGGGTCTCAGCTGCCCTCACCTCGTGGCCTCTCGCCCTGAGCACTCCCCTGGCCTCCTGCCCCGCGTGCCAGCCCTCCACTCCCCTGACCCCTCCCTGGGCCTCTTTTTCCTTCACATGTGTCTCTTGCAGCCTTTCCACAGGTGCCTCCTCTCGGGGGGTGTCATCCAAGCCATTCTGAGACCCCCATATCTCAGGTCCCTGCCAACCCACCATCTGCTGCCCCCTCCATGCTGGCCCCCTGGATGCTTCAACCCAAGCGTCTCTGACAGATCCCCGTGCCTTCCCACCCTTGTCCCCGCCTCCTGTCTTGGGGGCAGGCAGTGAGCTGGCATTCGGAAGCTAGGAGCCCTGTCACGTCCTTCACAGTAGCCCTGGGCGGTACTGCCTCCGCCTCCCACGCCTCTCCCCACCATCTGTCTCCCCACCCTCCTAGACCTGCATGCTGTGGCCGCCTTCGCTTCCTGCCTCTTCTCCCAGCTGCCGCTTTCTCTGCCCTTCCAGAATCTTCTGTGTTGTGGCCAGATGCTCCGGAACACGGATCTGGTCTGTGATCTGCGCTGCCCCTGCCTAAAGCTCCCATGCCCACAGCTCGGGGGAGCCTCGCCCTCCGGGCCTCCCGGTCCCTTCATTTGGGCTTTCGCAGCAACTTTTGCCTCCCCTCTCTCTGCTCGTCTGTCTCTGGACATGTGCGTGCACCAGAGACAGGGACGAGCAGGGAGGGAGAGGGAGAGGGAGAGGGGAAAAGCACCCCCATGGGGCAGGATCACGCCACAATCCCTTCTCTCCATTTCTGTGTCCTGCGGGGATCTTGGGCAGGCAAACACGCGTCTGGTGTGCTTTTTCCAGCTGCCATGACCAGGATTCGAACTGCGATCAGCCAGGTGGATTCCGGCTCCGCTCACCTGCAGGCTATGGGGCTGGCCCTGCCTCTCCTGTGACGGCACTTCAGTGCTTGCTGTGGTCGCCTGATTGCGGTCCCAACTTCCCCAGCAGGCCCCGAGCTCTGTCACTGTCAAGTCCCCATTGCCATGCTTGCGTGGGGCCCCAGCACCTCCTTACTGGATCGCGTCTTTCCTGCTGGTCAGTCGGCTCCAGGCCCAGAGCCCTCACCCCCGGCCAGATCACCCCAGCCCCAGGTCAGAGCTGGAGGTCAGAGCTCGCCCCGGTTCAGTGCTGGCACGGAGTCGTCTTTCACCCCAGCTCCACGCCTGGGGCAGAAATGCTGGGGAAGAGGAGCGTGTCGGGCCCAGGCGAGCGAGTGTGGACACGTGGAGCTTGTGGCATCACCCAACTTGGGTTTTGTTGTTTTCACAGGAGACGTGGGGGACAAAGGACAGAAGGGCAGCGTGGGCCGCCATGGGAAGATCGGCCCTGCAGGCACGAAAGGTATTGGCTGCATGGTTTTGCCTCCCCTTCCCTTCCAGGCTCTTGAAGACGCGACGTGACCACGACACGGCCGCCTCTCCCTGCGCTCGTTAGTCTCTGTGTGTGTCATATGTGGCACGCTCCGTGTTGGCTCTGGGGATGACCAGAGCTGGCTGCCAGCCTGGGCTCCAGGGTGGGTGGGGCTTCTCCACTCTGCAAGACTCCCACGTTGTCCCGGGGAGGATCCGGGGCCAGTGTACTTGGACAAGTGTCTGGCTTTTCTGCCCCAATTTCCTTCATGGTTTTAATTAAACAACGAGGGCCTCATGTAAGTGGTGCCGGGCCATGCTCAGCGGGCTCAGCGTGCTCAGCGTCTGCTCAGCCCAGCTCTGTAACTCTGGTTCTGCAGACCCTGGGAAGGTCCTCGAGAGAACAGGGCAGAGGGCGCCACAGTAGGGTGTGCGAGCGGCTCTAGGGACAGCACCCTGGCCCTCTGCGGCTGCCCTGGGCGCTCACCTTGGTCTTCCCCTCCCTGCAGGCAGGCGGGCAGTCCCAGGGCAGCTAAGGGACTGCTCGGTCACCCCACACTTAGGCCCCTCCTCACTGTTAAGTCATTGGACTGCACACTGAGCACCTGAGCGCCGTGCCTGTACTGGCTCTGGGAAACGCTGGGGCACGTGAGACACCAGGCACCCGAGCTCTCTGTGAGCCACCTCATGACAGTCCCACAGGCCCTGGCCTGGGCCGGGATGAGGCCACGTGGAAGGGCAGCGGCTGGTGCGGTGCTGCAGAGAGCGGAGGCAGAGGGCAGTTGCAGCGGCCTGCCCCAGTCTGTGGTGGGTCTGGACCTCATGCGTCTGCCTTAAAGCAAATGGGTTAACCGGATGCTGGACGGTGAGGCCCAGGGTGGAGCTGGGTCCCGGCGGGTGTGTTTGCACCCACGGCCCTGCCGGCTCAGCCTGTCCCTGTAGGAAGAGGTCCTCGGCAGGAGGGTGGCGGGGGGGGGGCCGGGCCGGGCGCA